CGCAGTCATTATTTATCTATGTTAGTTTTATTTATTAAAAAAATAATAGTTTAGTATAATTTTTATTTATTTTATATATAAACTTAATGTGTTGTTAAATTCAGTTTAATTTATTATTATAAATAGGTACCTATATTTTTAAAACTTCTGTATAGTATTTATGAACACCTATCTGCTAAAATTTCTTAGTATCTAATAAACCGTTTATTATAAAAATGTTATAATACAATATTTCTACAGGTAAACCTTATAATAAACTATATAACTATAATTACTAATGTTAAAATTAACCAAACATTCAATTTTCTTAGTTTCTTTAAATCCACTGGTATTATTCACAAGTGGAACGCACTCAAAATGAAAACTCTGGCGAGGTGAAGGTTCAATTCTTTCTTTTAAAATACTATTTATATTATTTTCCTAAAAACGACAGTGCTAATCAACCGCGCTAAGCCTGAAAAACAAAATTATAATTAACCTGCAATTAGTAGATTACTTTTTACCATCTGTTATTAAATATTTAATTCATGTCTACATTACATTGTTGACCACACTTACACTTTTTCTATGACACTTTGTATTTGTATACCCATAGATACGTCTATTATTCTTAATAATACCTTTATTCAGGAGTCCAGTTATACCATATTCCCATATCATTATTTCATTAACGTATTAAAAATATAAGATTTCTCTGAATAAAGTACATTTACAGAAATACATACTCGTGGCATTAAATGGCCTCCGTACACTGTTGCCAAATTTCGGAGACTAGTTGATTAGAAAATATTCTGAGGTATATTAACTGGTATACTTATTTTTATATACATCTGTATATAACAGTGGCGCCCTCATCGGAAGAACGGTGAACCCGATTGTGTAACTGTAGGTGTATCCAAGTGGAATTGACCTCCAGGCTAAAATTTGCCACACGTCCTAAAATGACCTTGACTACCCATAGTAAAGAGATACACGTGCTTACCATTTGGCCTCCGATTTTTCGAATGCGGCTCCGATTTCGGAGCCGCTTTCTTCACAAAAGTATCTATTTCGGATGTGTATTAGCCGTTTTGCATATATATATATATATATATATATATATATATATATATATATATATATATATATATTGATGAAATGTACCAAGTCACTTCCGAAATAGGTACGTAACATTCGTTGTGACTTCCAAAATTGGAAGTGGGAACGTATATATGGAAGTGACAACGTTTCGCCTTGTTGTCAGCATATTTAGCCACTAGAGGGCACAAGGAGCTCAAATCCGAAAAAACGGGTGGAAGTGACTACGTAGCTTTCGTACCTTTTCAGTTTGGCACTTAGTTCAGGTATATGCCGCTGGCGCCACCATCGATATATGCATTTCATATATAGCGACTGTGTCACTTCCGTAGCATAGGCACGACTATGTCACTTCCGAAATGTGGCAACATGGCAAAGTGCACAAAAGAATTAAGGATACAAGCAGAGACTTTGATATAAGTTACGCTTTGTTCATTGCGTTAAAAAACGCAAAGCGCAAACCTGCGAAATTGTTTTGAAAACGCCACACTATGTTTTATCGGCGGAAAAAATACATTTTTATAAACCATTTTATTATGGGTATTTTTATGACGATAATTTGTTAAAAACATTTTAAAGCAATAAATTTGGGTAAAGAATTATTTTTAAATAATTATGTTTTTATTACCTTAAAGTAAAATGTTTTTAAAACAGTTAAACTATATCTTTTAATCGAACAAAATATATCTTTTTTAAATAAGTTTAAAGTAGACCTTAATCTACATATATAAAAATTCGTGTTTAAAAATTAAAATTAAAAGTTTAAATGTTTTAAAGATACATTAGTAAAATTAGTAGAAAAAAATTCATATAGGCATTTAAATACGATTGCCTCTGATTTTCACGTTGATAAAGTTGTTCAGTAAACTTTACGTTATAAGTACACAAAAAATTAGCTGCATATACGCACATATGGAAAAGTTATGAATTTTTATTTATCGCGCTGCATGGCTAAATCGCGAGCGCTCGTATATACATAAGTAAGGCATTGTCTACCCACTCAAGATTTTCGTACAGATCTATGCTCATAAGTTTTAGTTGAATTTATTAATTGTTATAAATATTTTAACATGTATTAAATTTTTTATAGGATTAATAATTAATAACCTATTCATAACAAATTATGAATTAAATAATAGATAATCCTTTGCTTTGTAGGTTATCTTAATTTTATAAATTAATTAAAAATCCCTTGTTTTGCATCTTTTTGAGGAAACTCGAGAATCTAGACATAAGGATTTTAAAAAATTGTTATATAATATATTATGTTTTCGAGAAAAACAAATCGAAAATCAACAAACGAAAATATATTTCATCGTCTTTTAATATCGTCTGACCCCCTAATAACGTTACTAAGAACGGCTACTTAGGAGAAATACAAAATTTGTAAAATATGAGGAATTATTATAGGAAAAAATTTTAAAATTTAAATTATGTTTATTTATTTCTTAAAGTGTGCTGAGTATGTGTATAATATGTATTTATTTACAATAAAAAAGTTATTGAATTATTTTCGCCATCATTTCACCGCGAACATTTAAAAAAGGCATTTAAAAAATAAAGACCTTTATTTTTTAATTAAAGTATAGTTAATTATGCCTATTAAGTCTTATTTAACACAGTTAAAAATAAAAAAATAAATATTTCATGCAATAAAAAAGTTTGATTTTTTCCTTAATTGATGCTTTAATTAGGACCACCTAAAACGCATTTAAAAATTAAAATTCGTTATATTTTTCAATTAAAATAAAGTTAATTATACCTAATAAGTCTTATTTAACAAATAAAAAAATAAATATTTTTTTGCAATAAAAAAATTATGGGGTTATTATAATAGATATTTATTTATTATTTATTATTATTATACATTATAATGCAGTAAAAAAGAAAAAAAATGGATATTTATTTGTTATAAAAAAAGTTTGTGAATTATTTCTATAAAACAGTGCTTTTTGATAATCTAAAAACGCATTTAAAAAATAAAAACCTTTAAAATTAAAATATGGTTTATTATACGTAATAACTCATTTAACACATTATAAATAAAAAATTAATATTTACAAAAAAAAATACAAAACAGTGCTTTTTGACGTGCGTTGCAGCACAAAAACAGAACAGTAAATTAAAGTTGTCTTAAAAAGTGTGTAAATTCAAAAAATGCAAAAATATACTAAAAATGAGAATTTTAGTGTCGTTCCAGGAAAAACCGAATACCCTGTATAAATAAAAACATAATATAAAAAAAATTACTGCATCAAGTTAAAGGGGCCGACATTATAGGGGATCACCCTGCAGATACTAAAATTTTTACAAATATATTTGCAAAGTATATATGTCTTAAAAAGTGTGTAAATTCAAAAAATGCAAAAAAATACTGAAAATAAGAAATTTAGTGTCTTTCCAGGAAAAACCGAATACCCTGTATAAATAAAAACATAATATAAAAAAAAATACTGCATCAAGTTAAAGGGGGCGACATTATAGGGGATCACCCTGCAGATACTAATTTTTTTACAAATATATTTGCAAAGTACATATGTCTTAAAAAGTGTGTAAACTCATAAATGCAAAAAATACTGAAAATAAGAAATTTAGTGTCGTTCCAGGAAAAACCGAATACCCTGTATAAATAAAAACATAATATAAAAAAATACTGCATCAAGTTAAAGGGGGCGACATTATAGGGGATCACCCTGCAGATACTAAAATTTTTACAAATATATTTGCAAAGTATATATGTCTTAAAAAGTGTGTAAATTCAAAAAATGCAAAAAAATACTGAAAATAAGAAATTTAGTGTCGTTCCAGGAAAAACCGAATACCCTGTACTTAAAAAATTTCTTTTTTTTATACGTAGGAGAAAAGTATTTTTTACTCCCTACATAACCACGCTTTTAAATTTTTTGGGACACAAGTTGAAGGGGAGCGACATTATAGGGGATCACCCTGTACATACCATTTCTTTGAGTAAATTAAAGATTAAATATTTTTTTTCAAATGTAGACAGTTGCCAACAGGTAAAAATAGCCAAGTAAAATTATTATTTTTTATCATAACAGCTATTATTTTTTTCATTTTAAAGTACAAGTTGGTAGGTAATATTAATAAAATTGTTTTATACTGCTAGGTTTAAGATAGGATCTATCGTCCCAATTATCACATAAGGCCGTATCTCAAATTTAACAATTTTACAAAGCATTTTAAAGATTAAAAGTTTTTAGCTAATTTAAATAAAGTATATTTAAAAAAAAAATGTCCCACTAGGTATTACATTAAATGTAATACATATTAGCACATTTTTTTATTTGGAAAAATACGGTAGTGGATAGAACTTGCATAACTAAGAAGAAAAGTTAATATGAATTTATATGCTTTAAAATTTTTGTTTTAAACATTTAAAAAAATTTATCAACCGACGAAAAATATTTATTTAAAAAAGTGTCGGACTCGATAATTATTTATTATAAGATCTACAAACTTTATAATGTTGTCCACTTTGATAAACACCCTTATTAATTCTATAAAAATATTAATTTTAACATTTTTATGACGAGAGAAAAAATTATATTAAAAAATACGTATGTAAGTAGGTACTATTTTTTTAAATTCGTAAATTTTGACATTTTATTTTTTAGTACCTTTTGTAGATTTATTACAGTTTATACATTTAGCCACAGCGCAATTTGAGATTATAACCCAACACATAAAATAACAAAAACAAAATAAAAATATTAAATTTGGATGTCTTACACTTAAAATAATAATTATTATAATTTTAATTTGGAAATAATATAATAATAATACACGCAATATTCTCTCCACTCAAAAAATATTAAATTATTATTATTATTATTAAAACATTACCAAACATAATTTAACATAATAATATTATTAAACAATGCAAGTTTAATAACTAGTTTCGAATGTCGAATGTGCCGTACTTATGCTTGGCGAACGAATCGTGGTTACTAAGTGTTGCACATAACAGAATATTTACTTTAAGCGTTTCGAATTAAAAAAGGTCCGCATGAGCAACGGAGAGAGATAACTAGACTAAATCTATTTTTAGACTCGAAAATCTGGAAGTGTCTACGATGCAATTGTCTCTATATATGATGGAAGTGACTAAGTCACGGCCATAGTACACAAATATTTATTTGCGAAATCCTTTCCCCTCTCTAGAGATTCGGATTACGTAGGTTCCCCTTCACTTATATATAGTTTTAAAATGCTTGTATAAGCCTTCGTTCATGTGGAAGTTAGGACGCCCTGTTTATACTACGGAAGTGACAACTTAACAGGCATCGATATATATATATATTAGTTTGTAATTATAGCAAACATTTTTTAGATTTAATAACAAAATCCTGTCAAAAATTCAACCATAATTCTTGTAATTTTCAAAAAGGACCTTATTTGTACAAACCTTTTTGTAGACCCAGTAACAAAACTATTTGTACAAAATTGGGAAATCAAATGAGAAGACTTTTGATAAGAAATGTTGCAATTACCTACATAAATGAACACAAGAAAAACACACCATTTTAAAATCATCCAATTATAAAGAAATTTGGTACAGTATAATTATCAGTACTACTACAACATTTATTTCGTAACTTTATCCCCTAATTTTAGTTTGAAAACCAGTGATGGCATCTCTTTTCGGATACTTCGCACACTCGTTAAATAAGTATAAGGAATCCCAATAACAATAATAACAGATTTCTGGTAATATATTATAAACACTCTGGACAGTTGTTACGAACACGTTACGAATTAGAATAAAGTAAGCAGAAACATAAGTTGCTAAATCTGAAGTCAGTTGAACTTGTTGATGCGTATTGTCATTGGGAAACGTTTTGATTGACTGCCTGAAATCACGTGTACCTACTTTTTTAACGAAATAATTTGTTAAACATTAACAAAATAATCTGTAACCTCTGAAATTAACAAAATGCCTACAAAATTGCATATTACCTTGACAAAACTTTTGGTAAAATATTTTACAAAATAAAATTCACAAACTCAAACTCAAGTTAACAAATCTGATTTTTATAACAGTTTATATGCATAAATAATATTTGATATCCTAAAAACAAAATTTGTCCGATTTAAAGTGCACTTCTATTTAGCATAACACTCCGGTCTTCGGCAATCCTGACCCACCACCACGTGATTGTCGGGCGGCCAGTTCCTCCTGCCTGCTCATCGCGGTCTCGCCAAAATCGCTAACAACAAAACGCGATATTGTTGCAGGTAGTGGATTCGCGGGCGCGCACCGATGCAGACGGCGCTCTCCAGGCCCAGGCCAGACGACAGTTCGAAGTGTTCCAGAGCCAGGTGCCCGGCGGACACCTGCAGGTCATCAAAACGCACACGGTGTCCACCAGCCGGTGGTCGTCCAACAAAGGGGCGACGACTGCCAAAATCGCCAACGGGGGTGCCGACACGAACGGCTTCGAAAATTTACAGGTAATTTTTTATTATCAATAAATTTATGTAAATTATTCCCACGCTGTAATAAACTTGGTATAAAATTACAAATTAAGTAGGGGAAGGTGGGGGAATTCTGCGCATCTAAGCAAAATCTCTAGTATCTTTGTTAAGTTTAAATGTGAAATTTTGCAATTAATACCAGCGATAGTCTACTATGTTTACTATGTGTATATAATGCGCAATTTAAAAAAATTGTTTGGTATGCAAAAACTACATTGTTTGGTATGCAAAAACTACATTTTTTTAAATAATGCATTTGCGCAAAATTACCCACCTATCAGGGTAATTTTGCGCATCATAGGGGGAAAATTTGCGCTGTATAGAGAAAGATTTGTAGGTATCTAAATAAACCGTTTATTTCTATAATATTATTAACACTGCTCTTATTTTGCATTTTGGACTTTTCGCTTTAGCTAATCCATAACATACTCAATCGCATTAAAGTTCGGGCATAGTGGAGGCCAGTTGGTGCTACATTTTTGGACTCCCTGTATAAGATTTTATCGAATACATGGGATCTACGCTTTATAAGCACTATGCGTGTACCTAAACATAAATATTAAACATATTCTACGCATGGTAAATAGCCTTCAAGAAATAGTATTTAGTATTGCAAATAAAATAAAATACAGGTTTTACCAAAATTATTAAAAATAAAACTATTTGTAAAGATTTTATTTAAATATTGTCCAAAAATAGTGTATTAAAGAACTAATGTCATAAGACGTATTTTTTTCGCACGAGGAAAATTTACAAAACAAGCTACGAAGGAACGAGTTTTGTAATGGACGAGTGCAAAAAATGACGTCTTATGACATAAGTTCTTTATACAATTTTCTATTTATCAAAATTTTAAGAAAAATTTTACTCTTGACGGGGAAAAATTACGAAACGTACTGTGCTTATTATGTTATATAAATAGAAAAAATCATTTTTTCTAAACTAAATGTGATCTTAATTTAACTGACAATAAATGGTTGATGCATCACATGTGTATGTTTTTTCACCAGAATAAAGTGACGAAGTTAGTACGCCCACTTTATGGAAATACCATTAAAACAAAATACACTGTTCTTTCCAGTACACTAATACAAAAAAATCAAAATAAATATGACAATAATTGCCCTATTTTAAAAGTGCATTTTTTTATGTAAGTGATAAAAATGTAAAATATTTTGCAGTAATATAATAATGGGAAATGTAAATACATTTATAATAAATATTTTCAAATTTCTACAGAAATAAGATTAATTTTATTTAAATCAAGGTGAAAATAAGCAATACCATAATTTACCATAACCTTCATTTAATTTACATTGCATAAGAAAAAAATAATTACTTCTACATATTGTTATTCTAAATGTATAAGTTATAATATTTAAAATAGTTTCTGCCATGTATGTGGGTTAGGGTGTCCCTTATTTTTATTTTTTTTACGCATACCCTCTAATTATATTTATTACTTGTTTATATACTCCCAGTAAAAATTTCAGCTCATTCTATAAACGGGAACCCGTGCCGACTTGCATCTAAACCCTCCGTTAGCCAACGTTAGGCGCGCGCGTTATTTTGTAACACGAAACACTTTAAAAAGAAGATATACTTCATGACTGTATTTTTCTAATGATTTTAATAAATATGATTACTAATTAATATTATTGCTTTTATTTCTATCATTTGTTTCACTAATTTAGTTGATTTTATCCCTTAAATATAATAATATACTAATTAGTATTGCTAAAATATACTGTTATATGAAATTTTAGCTTTTTATAAGCATTTCTTTTCTTGATGTCCTCCCAAAAATATTTCAGACAGTTCAATAAGTTTTCAGTAGTCATCTCTCACAATAGACTCCTTTAGTTATTTAGAGTAAAACACCTTAAGTTTATCAATTTCAGAGTTTACGGCCTATTCAATAGACCCTTTCGGGTAACTAGCCACTCCCTGTGAAAATATACATTTTTATCAAAGTATACACATAAATAAAACTATATTTTAACATTTGTCAATAATTTATAATATAAGGGTCACATACAGGGCCGGCGTTAGCTTATTAGAGGCCAGGTGCAAAGGAAAAATGCGGGGCTTGAACTTAAAATAAAAATTTACTCTTGAAAATTAACATAGCGCCTAGCGGCAATAAACTAATAAATCATCAAACGATAGAGCTGAAACCGCCCAAGTGCATTTTTAAGTCAAAATTTCTTAAGCATGTTAGCGGATAGTAGAAAATTTTGGCTTAAAAATGCATTTGGGTGGTTTCAGCTCTGACCCCTTCAATTAATATGGAAATTAACGTTTAAGAAAAAATCACACATATGTTTTCCGTGCTTTGGCGGAAGCAAAGGCGTCAATGGTTTTTGAAGTCATATCCAGTTCTCTTCCAACATCCTTCTCTATTGACAATATAGCCAAACCCACTAGTCGTTCTTGGCACATACTTGATCTTAAATAATTTTTTATTAATTTTAATTTTGAAAAACTTCTTTCCGCAGAGGCAACCGTGACGGGCAAGGTAAGTAAAATTCGAATTGCGACGCAGATATTTGGATAGGCCAAAAACAGCTTTGTAGTTTGAAGGTATTTTAGTATGTTTAAGAGCGAACTTTGGTTGATTTCAGGAATTATTGGAATTAAAGATGTTAGTTCTTCAAACAATTCTAAGTAATCAATATCGGAATCGGCATTTTCCGCGGATAAAACAGAATGTAGGTTTTTGCAGTTATTTTGCAATTCTTCATCGGGAAGATCTTTGATTTTTGTAAATTCATACATAAATCCAAACTTTTTCCTAATACCCTCATATAATTTAAATCTTTTCTTAAAGGATTCTATTGCTCTATCAAGGACTAATAGGAAGAATTCAACACGAAAATGTTCTTCTTTGTCCTCGAACGTTTCATCTGTACCTTCATAGTCAAAAGATTTTTTGACTCTTCTACAAAAGATATTATCTCTGGCATTGACCACATATTATGTTCAACATAATATGTTGTCGCGCGGCGCTTACCGGTTGCCAAAATGTACAATAATTTCGTCGAGACGCCTTGATGCGCGCGGGGCCTATAAAACGCGGGGCCGGGTGCACCGCACCGTGTGCACATGCCTCACGCCGGCCCTGGTCACATAATAACAAACACAAAATGACTTACGATCGAAGACCTCGCGTTGGCTAACGGAGGGTTCAGATGCAAGTCGGCACGGGTTCCCGTTTATAGAATGAGCTGAAATTTTTACTAGGAGTATATAAACACGTAATAAATATAATTAGAGGGTATGCGTAAAAAAAATAAAAATAAGGGACACCCTAATGTGGGTGTATAATAATTACACTGGTCAACAAAAATAAATTTTATGTTTGCCCCAGGGTTGCCTTTAACTCTTCTAGTGTACTTTGGGTGCGCTGATTTTTAAAATTTTTAAATTATTTTGTTTAATTTGTTCTTAATTTTGCGATATTGTGAAAAACGTTAAACATTATTTAAATACTTCAACGGATGATGATTGGTAATGTAGCTATGCTCTCTTAAAATGAATTAGTCAAAAATAACTAATATAAGTCATATTTGACTAATTGTCATAGCGAAAAAGCAGTCACTAATAATTAGTCAAATTCTACTGAATGAAATAGTCAAATTAGTAGATTTAAATTTAAAAAAAGTTTTAACCCAGCCGGGGAAATCAGGTCTGTCACTTGTCAAGCTTGTCAAGCTGTTGTCATAACCCATTCGGCCATCAGCCGCTCTTATAAAAATCAATTTTATTTGTCAATAAATATTGTTCATACTATTTTAAAGTTAAATATATTATTTGTGTTGCTGTTTTGAGCTAAATTTTTTGCATCTTTATTTGTTTGTATGGGTCATTTAACCATGGAGCTTAGGTATATGCATTGAATTCAAATAATACTTTGTTGTTGGCCGCAAACGATTAAAGAAATTAGGTAGTTACTTTTAACTCTCAGAAATAGTCAAAGATGGTGACTAATCTTAAATTAGTCACACTTTAACTATTTATGTAGTAAAAAATAACTATTTAAAAGTGAAAACGACTATTTTATTAGTAAAAAATGCTGGTACTAATTCAAATAGTAGAATTTTGACTATTTCATTTTTATAGTGGGTCATAATTAAACTTAAAACAAAATTTAAAAAATTTAAGTGGTAAAGTTGTAAAATATGAACAAATTTTGTAGCTTTATCTATCTACTTTATGTTGTTAAAATATCAATGCAATCAAATAAAAATGGGCAAAATGGTACTTAAAACAACCCAGCGTGTCAAAATTTATATTTACGGTCATTTTTGCTCCTGGCCCTTGTACTACCATTAAAAACATAACAATAATAATAAAATAGATAGATAATGCTACAGAACTACGTAAATTTCAATAAAATTTGTTTTTTACAATATCTTAAAACAAAGAGCTGATTAAGCAAAGTTATGTTTATTTTTGGAATCAGCGTACCCAAATTACCACAGAACAGGTGTGGTAAAATTGCTCTCGACCAGTGTTATGCTTCAAACAGCTCTTTTTAGCTGCCTTAATAAAACCTAAATTGTTAAAAAATAAATTTGAAAAAAGGTTACACGCGACTTTTTAATTAAATTACAAATATGCACTGTTTATTTATGTAACATAATAAAAGGATATTCACCCTATTTCTATAAGAAAATAATTAAAAGCCATATATTAATAGGATATTAATTAATTCTATGAATATAAATAATTAATTAATTTTGTAATTAAATCTTGTATGAATAATTTAGGTTATTGGACCCAATTATTATATTTATTAATTTTCTGCCCAATTAAAAAACAGTTGCGTTATTTAATATTCATATAAATTGATTAATTTTGTATCCCTAGAAATATTTTTAATTGCAATTGTGAGCATGCTCATATAAATTGAAAATTTCAAATTTTGTATGTAACTCTCATTTGTTTTAACAAGATTCAAATATAGAAAATCTAGTTCAATATACCTTTACAGTTAGTATTAGCTCATTAAATTGCTATTAAACAATTTTTCCAAATTATAATTTGCAGAAAATTACATATTGCTTTTACGATTTCATTAGAGATAAGAGTTTATCGCTTACTGATAATTCATGTGCTCTTTCATTCAAATTGAATATTTACCTCTATTTGTAAACAAAATTGGTTGGACAAAATTATAAAGTTACTTATAAATCAACGTCTGAAAAGAATATTTAATTATGAATAAATTATGACTCTGCGTCTAACAATTTTTATTGTTCATCACGCAACAACGAATGATTTTACTTTTATTGTGATATAACAAATAATTGTAATAACTTTCATCAATTTACATAAGAAATCAGATCAGTAGTTCATTATTAATCGGGTTTCGGCTCTCTAAATACATCGGACCTAAGCTTTTTTAACCCAACTGAAACTATATGCTTAAAATGTAAAATTCCACTTACCCACACTTTTATCAAAAATCAAAATGATAATATTTTGGAGTTGTCTAAATACGTCCAATATATTAAAACTGTCTAAAATGTCTTAAAATTGTCTATAAATGCTCAAAAACTTATACCTCAACATTTGAACTGTAAAATGTGTAGTGTAGTGCGTGGATTTTAAGGGCAAAAATAGGAACAAATCTTCTTATAAACATGGGTAGGCAAATGGCCTCTATATTTACCCCTTATAAGGGATCTACAGTAGCTACCCTATAGGGAGGGTGTCGGTTATTTACCAAGTTGGCTGTTTTTACTTGGGTATCGTTTAAATTGTTAGTTTATAGCCTAAAACCCTGCCTAAATGACCATACTTTTCCCATTCATTTAACATTGAGTTTTTGCACTTTTTGGAAATAGTTTTTTTTCTTGTTTATTATTTTCAATAACTCATCAAATATTGTTGATTCTGCTTCTATTATGATGATCCCTTTGTATTTTGGGAGTTAAAAATTTATTCCGTAAATTTTGATGTCAAAATTTATTTTTAACGTTTTTTCAATAATTTTCAATAATTACCGACTATTTAATATGCTTACTATTATCATTTTATCCAAATAGTCTAAATTAAATAATTATAAAGCATTAGATGGTGTTAGGCTATAATAGGTAATTTAATAATTTATGAGTTACAATCTTTATAAAGTCAATGAAAAAAGCGTATAAAATAAACATTAAACACAGAATAAATATATAAAGATTGTAACTCATAAATTATTAAATTACCTATTATAGCCTAACACCATATATTGCTTCATAATTATTTAATTTAGAGTCTAAATTTTAGACTATTCGGAAAAAATGATATCTGTAAGCAAAAAGCAGATAATTGAAAAAAAATCAAACTTTTTTTATATTTTTAATGATTAAAACGCCATTTTATACACGAATTTAATTTAGGCACCAGCGAGCTTGCGAGCGAGTGCTTAAATTAATGAGTTTATAAACGAGGTGCATACTATACTTTTTCTACAACAAATACTTATTATTATCTTAAAATGATTTAAATCAAAAAATTGTATAGAGCGCCATCTATGAAATATTAGGGGAATCTGTGTGTCACCGTCAAATGTCAAATTTTTATATTTTATAAACACAGATTATAAAGGTTATAAATCGAAATGTATTTCTTGAAAATTTACAGTTTTTCACAGTGAAAGTAAACAAAATGTTTTATGAGCACTTTAAAGTGGAGTCCGTGCCCGAATTTAAGTTATAGTTTACTGCCGGCGAAATTAAAAGGTCAGTACAATGTTCATATAAACTGTTCAAATATTGGCGTTGAGAAACTATTTAATACTTTTGTATTTTTATATTGAGATAATAAAATAAATTTCACATTTAGTATTATTTTACAAGAAAGGCAATTTATTTTAACGATTGTATGACATTTGACAACTGTCAACTAACTTAAAACTAAAGCCCGTGACTAAAAACCTGTTGCCAACTTCAGCCCGTGACTTAAGCGCCGTAAAGCCACAACTTGTCAATGTGTATTTAAAAGGTCACTTAGTGTCATGGAAACATGTACGTTAAAGAGCGTTTTAAAGGTGGGAGTAGAAAAATAAATAATAATTTGTGTTTTAAATTTTTTATTAATTTTCTGAATATGTAGGTAATTATTAAGAGCGTATAATGAAAAATTTCACATTACATACCGTAAACACGGGTGGCTTTGGCTCACTTTCAAACTTCAGCTTAAAATTTTTGTGGTTTTAACAATCATAAACATTACATTTTGTATACCAAAATTTGAGTCTTGAGTTGCTCTTTCATAATAACAATGTTATAATATTACATAGGGCTGAGTTTCAAAAATAAACATTAAAAACTGGGTGTGAAAAGTTACCCCCTGGTTGCGGGTTGCTTTGTCTCACATTGTTTTTTCAGTATAAAATGAATGTAATATTATATTTTATTTTTATTAGACACGTGTTAGCAGCGACATATATCTATTGCAAAAGATTACCAATAAAAAAAATAAAAAATCGACCTGTAGTTAACCAAGGATCATCATTCCAATGGATTGCGCATAATATAGAAATAGATATATACAATTTTAAAGTGTAATAAATCCCATTTCTTTCTTTAAAACACTGATTTTCCTGTAATATAAACTCAATAGAATCGCTCAATTGACAGGTTTAGACCAACAAATTATAAATGTTAATTTTATCGAGCGCGAAAAGAGGCATCGAAAAAAAAAATTTGTTCAAAATTGTTTTTAGGTTATAAACTAACAATTAAAATGCCAAGTGAAAACAACCAACTTGTTAAATAACGGACCTGTCCGGACATCCTAATCTACAGCCTCTTAAAGGGGCGCCCTTGAAGATGTTTTTTTATTATTTCCGAAACGGTTTATAAACCGTTTCGGAAATAATAATAATAATAATAATAAGATAAAATAATGAAATTTTGTATGCTTACTTAACTTTTTATGCTGAATTTAAAAATAACAACAAAATCAATTCTATTTATTTATTAGTGTATTAAACAGCCTAGGGTATTTTTAGCCCCAAATTTTTCACGTAAAAAAGGTGCTCCTGAGGAACATCGTTAAAATGAACTATTTTCGATGAAATAAAATAACAAATTTAAAAAATAATTGTCTTTTTTTTCAAACTAAACGCTCGAACACGTAAACATAATTTTTGATCGTAGATAAAAAATACGTGCTTGGTTTAGGTGTATCAGGTCAAAATTCAAAGATATTTAGTTTTTAAGTTTTGAAGCATCCCATTGGGAAACACCCTGTATAATTTTTTTTAAATCATTTGGGATGGACCCCCACATCACTTTCAAATAAAAAAAAAAATTCTTGCAAAATTTAAGGTTAATTGATCAAAAGGAACATGTGTCCCTGAGGATTTTTTTTTTTGACTATTTCCCTCGTCTTAATTTCCACCAATCACAAACGCGCAATTTTGAATTACAAATGGTTTCTAGGTGAAAAAACTGTGTGACAGCACCTGTCAGAAGTTTTTTCGAGTTTACCCGCGGCAAAACTTGACAGCTGTTGTCACCAAAAATTGCAATTTATATTTTAATTGTTAACTGTTACTCATGAAATAGTCTTGTCAAATACCATTCGGGCATCTAATTTTTCCAGTGAAAAAAATCGAAAAAACACAATGCTAAGTAATATTTTTTAACAAAAAGCATTCGTGCAGGTGCAAAAATCCTCCTCTTCGACTCGGATTTTTGTTGCCACCAGCACTCATGCTTTTTGTTAAAATATCACTTAGCAACGTGTTTTTTCGATTCTTTTCGGAAAAATTAAATGCCCTTATGATATTACTTACGATAATTTAGAAAATTCAAAATGTTTTTTTGCTTTTTTTATTGAGTATATTATATTAAACAAAATAAAAAGCATAGGAATTTTGGCACATGGTACAGGAGGTAAAATATATTAGTTTAAATTATAATATACCAGTATACAGTGTGTCCCCGGATCGGATTGCTATAGGAAAAACTTGTTTAGATCTGATACAGCTAAACCGATCACGGATTTGGAATCTACGACCAAAAATTATTTTTACGTGTGCGTTAAGCTGTGATATTTCAAGAATTGAAAATTTACCTACAGTGTAATTTACAAGAAATATTAATAAAAAAATACCTCCTTCCGAAAATACATTATTTTATCTAAAACCGTTTAAAAAATAATAATAATAATAAAACATCTTTAGAGGCACCTCCTTAAGAGGTTATGTAGGTCCCTTAGTGGCCATTTGCCGACCTACTATCTAAAAATGAATTAGTCAAAAATGACTAATAGTCATATCGAAAAAGCAGTTACTAATAATTCTCGTTAATAGCAATTTGTATCCCGAACATTTAGCAGTCAATTTCCATGTAAAATTGTCCCATGAATCCTAAAATGTCGTCAAAAGTTAGTAGTTCCAAATAATATGGAATGGACTATATCTTAAAAACTGTATAATAACTGTGGAAACTAGTCATTTTTGACTAATTCATTTTAAGAGAGTATGTTTGTATGAAGTGTTCTTCTTATTTTTGGCCTTAAAAACCGCTTGTAGATTATTGCACACTATGTTCGGGACACCCCGTATATTATAAAATGCCACAAAACGTTTTTAAAACCATTTTAAACTGTCTTGGAATTAAAAAATAACTTAATAATAATAATTATATTTTTATATACCTGTTGGGTCACCATGTAAAAAAATAAATATTATTGTTGTGATATCATCTTATAACTTATATATTTGTATTTTAGCTCTCCCTGAACACATTGGACCTGAGCTCTCAAAAATCGAAAGCCTCTGTGGGTAGAAGCGCGAGCAGACGCCCTCCGACCAGAAGAAGGCAGGATCCCACAGCCAGCCCCCCGCTTAACGGCAACAGCCCCCTCAGAAACGCGCACACCACGGCGGTGACAAATCTGCACCGGGTGTCCCGGCTGTGCCATCAGATCCACGACAGTGCGGTTCGTCAGGCGTTCGGGAGGCGATCGCCGCCGCGTCCGCCCATAGACGAGCGCCAGAGCGGCGACGGCAGCGTCGAAATTTACGAAATTGAAAGTGTTAGCAGTGATACGAATAAGTCCCACACGAATTTATCACGAACGAAAAGTACCAGCAGCGAAGATGTTTTGCTAAATGCAGAAGATTCCTCCACAAAGAGCATAGAAGATTTGGAAGACTTGGAGCAACTACAGAGCTGGAGAAGGACGTCTAAAATAAGAAGATCCTTGCAGTTTCCAAAACCGAATAAACCAACTCCGGCTAAACCTTTGGATCTACCTGAAAACAGTGTCAGTGTAAAAAAAATTAAAGAAGATCTTGAGAAAGGTAGACGCCTTAACACAGCTCTTCGTGGCAATAATATAGATTTAGAAGCGTTAGATCAAATCCTCCAATCAATATCCAGCTCCAGTAGCATACACTCTGACAAAACAACTGAAGACAATCTAGAAGATGAAGAAGTTAAACTCATAACTTCGAAAAAACTCGAAAAACGTGATTCTTTTGTAACTGTAGAATCCCTTCAAGCAGTCAGAGGCAGACTTAGACGCACCAGCTCTCCTTCAAGCGATATTTACTCCAATAAAGATGAAGAAATAGACGACGGTATAGTAACAGAAGAAAAACAACTCGAAATGCCCTACCAAGACAAATCACCGTCCAAAGTTCGCTCCTATGTCTTTGGTATGGAGTCGTTGCTCAATAAAAAACCTGTGTTGGGTACAGGAAGTTTGGAGTCCAGATCAAAATTGGTGACTGCTAATTCCAGCAATAGAAACGAAGACTGGTACAATCGTCGAAAATCCTACGGATTCGAAAAAGTCCATAGTCACGAGGATTCGACGATTTCTCATAAAACAAAGAATTTCGTCGAATCGTCGACCGACAGTGGTATATGCCGATCTAGTGAAATTGTAGTAGTGCCAACTGCCACGAAAAGTACATACGATGACAATAGCTCTGATGCTACAAACAGCGATAACGAGAAAAAACCATACGTAACTAAAGAAAACGGTATTAATTTTGGAAACGTGCGTAAAATGACTAACTTGTTTAACAAGGAAGACGTCAAGTTTTATAATAATAAAGCCTACGAGGAAAATAATTGGACTAAAAGGGCTTCGTACAATGAAGAATGGAAACCAAAGTCAACAACAATAACAATTCCTATTGTTAACAATAAGAACAACATAATCGACTTAACGTGGAATGATCAACCTGAAAAGGACATTAAACGCCACTCGATCGCTGTAGATGAAGCCAAATACGCATCGAAAAATTTAGACAACTCATTTAAAAGAACCAGCTTGGCTATAAACGATCACACTGATGACGACACAAACTTTAATCGAAAAACTAAGAAGGTAGAGTTTTGTAAAACCGAAGTCCATTTTGCTGCCGATTCGGGAAAAGTAAATATTGTGGAGACCGATGAAAAACCCCCTCCCACAAATAATTTTAGACGGCGTCGAAGAAACTCGGGCCCTATTGTATCTCTTGCAGAAGATTACAATAGAAACGGTTTGCCAGTTTTGCATTTTGGTGATACGTCATATGAAAAAACGATGTTTGGTGTTGATGATGATGAAAAAAGTCTGTATGAAAATCTACACAGTCGTGTACCGCCTGCTTTTGGTGTTGTGACAGTAAACACAAACATAAATCACTTTGATTACGTAAATGATAAAAAAGATTTGTCTGAGAATGAAAATATAAGAGGTATTTTAAAAAATAAGCCTGTTAAACCTAAACCTTATCATTTAGGCGAAATTGTCCCGTTCTCTGAGTTAAATTCAGACGATGAAAACAAGAAATGGGGCGTGAGATTACGACCTGTCAAAAAGGAAGAACCACCTGTTTGGAAATCAACTGTGAGCGTACAAAACTCAGTGTACGAAGACAGAAGCCATTATGGAAAGGAAAATGACCAACCAGAATTCCAAAAACTCCTGAAGAATTTAAGACCGACAAAAAAAGATTTAAGTGACAGTGAAACAAATTTTTCAGATACAGGCTATTCAGGTATTAGAGTAACGTCTGATAACAGAAGATCTTCATGGTCAGTGTCGGACAAAACAGTTGACGAGAGCCAAAAAGAACCTAAAGGATTTTCTACTAAAGTCAATTTTGGAAATGGTGAAGCCACTGTGGTGAAAAGTGATGCTTTTATGGATACTAGACATCCTTCTTGGTCTGGAGCAGATAATTCCAAAGGTAAGAGACTAAGCATGCTTTCTATGTAGTACTAACAAGTAGGCTTTAGAAAATTTAATTAAGAAAAGTTAGTCCTAACAGAATTATTTATGAAAACGTTCTTATAAGTAATAATTTTTATACTTTATATAACAATAGTTTGTGTAGCTAATAGCTAATATTTAGGTAACAAATTAAACTTGTATACATAAGATAAATACTGTATAAATTTTTGTAGTTTCTTTGTAAATTGTAGCCTAAAAGTACCTTTTTCTATTTGTGCATGGTTGAATTGTAGATTGTTGGATTTTGTGCTATATTAACGTAGTTATTCACAACGTTTAGTTGACCACTACTTGTAAAAAAAAGTTGAATTCTATTTGAATTCAGACAGCTTTGTCCGATCGATAATTAAAGATATGCTTGATTACATTAAAAAATGATTAATTCTTTAAGTATAAGATACCCACGTTATCTAAGTTATTCGAGAAAGACTTAAAATCTTATATTCTTATGTTTTTTTTATTGGAGAAAATATTTTAATTCCTTTGCTAAAAAAATCCTTTTATTACACATAAATGTTTCTTGAAATTTGCTTTCCATAGAAAGTCACAAAGTTTATGAAGCACCCCTCAGATTGCGGAAAACGGGAGACAGATTTGATGTCAACGCAAAAATACGTTCTTCTATTGTTTTCTTATATTCGTAAACCTATAGGTTTACATATATGTACATATTATGATTATTTCACTCATTATAATATGAACCAATCAAAAGCCTTGAATTTTCGAATAAATTTCGTTTGAATAAGCGATTAAATCACTAGAACTATTTAACAGCGATTAAATTTTAGCCTTCATATTGGATTTTTGTTTACGATTTTATGGTGTTATTTAGAAGTTTTAACAAACATTTTTTAAAAAACAATAAAAAATAAGTTATCTAGTTTACGAAATATAAATTATTACTTATTACATACCTTAAATTAATGGAATTTTCTTTAAAAAAATATTTATAAATTTTGATACATACGTCAGATTTTATGAATTGTCAAATAGTTTCCTTTAATTCGAGAAATAATCTAGACGTAACACTCAACCTATAAATTTAATCTGTCAAACTATGCTCAGTAAGTTTTTTATTTGATTTTTCTTTTTGGAAAATAGTTTCATGCAAAATAATTAAAAATAAAACCCTACGCGGTCTCGTGATTTTATTAAATTATTTTGCATTCAACATTTTCCAACAAAAACCAAACAAAAAACTACTGAGCCTAGTTTAACCGATTAAATTCATAGTTCTCGTTATTATTAAATTTTTCAAATTATTTTTTATATTAATAACACAAATAATCGTCAAAATCTATGATCATCGATCGGACACTTTAACTTTGTTCCTTTTTACTGAGTTTGTGGTGACTTTTAGAACCAAGGCAATTGCTGAACAAAGGTCTGGTCGTTCGAATAGGCAAAAGCGATTCGGCCACAAATCACATGGTCTGCTCGAAAATGACAACCACGCAGGACCGCCATAACACCACAACCACCACAAAAATCACCATAGATCTTTCACCCTCACCGCCGACGACTCAGCAAGACAAGCAACCCATATTCGCCTACGCCAAATATGATCGATCTCAAAATCATAACTTTAAGTCCACCTCCCTGATACTAAACACGATCAAAGATAACAATGAAGCTGAAACCAAGATTCCTCAACAATTAGAGGCTTTAAAGAGATTGTACGAAGACGAACAAAGTGATAGTGATGCTGATAAAGAAGTGCAACAGTTGATGAGTAAAGTAAATGATATGGGAAAACTCGAGGATGACCACAGCAGCATTGTATCGGGTAGTTGGAGTAAATTAAGCGCTCAAAAACGTCTTCATTCATACAAAAATGGTGCTAACGAACCTTACTCAAGATATGATCTCAATACTACTAATGCCAAAATAGAAAAAGGTACTTTACTTAAGTCTATTTCTTCTGAAAACTTTTTTTTTATTTAAATGTATTCTAATTTAAAGTGTTACATTTTTTTTAGATTCCTCTATGGATAGCTTAAAAACTGCTCAATCTACTAACAAAACATCGATAATACGTAATAAATTTTCCCCAATAGTAATAAGAAAAGTAGCTCCAGCTATAAGGTCCGACCTAAAGTCAGCAATGCCCACAGAAACATTATCTAGTCCTTCATTGGTTGGAAGAAAAGTTAACGGTTTTGATTACCCCGAAAAACTTGAAAAAACAAACTACAATGGACGACAATCTCCAGCTAAAATAGTTAACGGTAGACAATCACCTGCCAAACCAATGGTGAATGGAAGAAAATCTCCAACCAAACCAATTTCCAATGGCAGATTAACACCTACAAGATTGGTACAGGGTAGAAGTTCTCCAGTGAAACAAAACCGTAACTCACCCACAAAAGACTTCAAAACAATATCAGATTCAAAATTGCAAACGAAACACGTTAACGATATGGTTTTACGTCAGCCGAAGAAATCTGAAATGACTTACTTTGGAGTTAACGTATCTCCAAAACCGATTAAAAGAGCAGAAACTGTGATACCGAAAGAAAATAAGTTGAGTGAAAAGCCTGATTTACTACAACACTATAATAAGTCAAACGAAGCTCAAATTAGAGTGGTAAAACCTAGAAGAAAATCGCCTGAAGTTAAGAAAGAGTCTCCGATTTACGAAAATGTTAACGGTGTAAAAAGGAATAAATACGCAGCAAAAGATTTCGATAATAATATTTTAGACGAACTTACTAAAGCTGCTGATCAAATTTTGCAAGCTGTAAACGGTTATACCGACGAAGAGGCTAAAAATAGGCTTACCTCTGATGATGATCATAAAGCCTTGGAAACTATATCAGAAACCAAATCATGGAAGAAAGAAACTCTAAGTAGCCTAAATAAAACCAAACCTCCAAACTCAAAAGCAAAATTAAAACACACTTCCTCCAACTCTTCTATAGACAGCGTTACTAAAGATCGAAGAAGAGTAAGTACAGTTGAAAAACGAAGTACGCCCTCTAAAGTTAGCTTAGAAAAACCCAAAAAGAAGCCTATGGCTGAAGTTATAATGACAAAATCCACTACGAAAGCGCGTAGACTTCAAAGAGCCAGTAGCAGAGAAGCTCTGCTGCAATCCCATGGCAGTTCATCGGAAGACCTGTCAATAAATGTGGAGGCGCCGGTAAGGAAACCGAGGTTAGTTAAGAAGACTAAAGCGATGCAGCTGACTGTCACTAATGGACTGGAAATGCACAAAAAACCTACTGGATATAGAAGAAAAGAGACGGAAAATAGCAAAGTTGAAGAAAGGTTTGTGATGATTTTTATATTTTGGGATATTGTTTGTATAACTAGTAATTTTTATAGGGTTTTAAACAGTCTTCCAGAAATAAGACACAAAACAGCAGTGTCGACAATTAGAAGCACAGCAGAGAAATCCAGTAGGGATAGAACGAGATCGAGGACAGAAGAAGCAAAGAAAAGATCGCCACCGAAAAGAGAAGTGATGAAAAGTAAGACTTTTTGTTATTTAAAGGGGTGAGGAGCAAAAGGGTACAAGTGCAAAAAAAGAATTGGAGTTATTAACTTTTAAAAGTTTTTGCTAAATACAAAAATCTGGATACCTACTTGTTTCAATATTGTTGTTTGCATTAATCGACATGCAGAACTCTTTTAAAAAAATTTGAACTTTAAACTACCCAAGTCTGCATTTATTTTTTTCATGCTAAAATGTACTTTTACCCTTTTGCTTCTTACCCCTTCATTTGTTAGCTCTACAATGCACAATACTCCTTCAAAGAAAAATTACCTATGTTACCAGTACGTGAATATAACCTAACAAACTTTTAATTGTAGGTGTAAATTCTTCATCTTCAAGAGCCGAAAGCCGTTCGCGAAGTTCCGCGTCGACTAAAGAGGCGGTGACAACGCATCGGACCACAACAGCGTATGTACCAGTTTGTAGCGATAGACGTCGAAATATGCATGCAGTGCAGGCAGACGATTGTCCATGCTTATGTTCTTGACATATACGCAAAAACACACATGGCGTTAGGTACACACACTATATCAGTATCGATATAACAATAAAAAAGTAGTATTAGTAGAAGTAATATTTACAAAAATATAGAAAACTAATAAATATATTTGTGTAGCTTCATCAAAATGTATACAAAATTAATATTAGGGCTTATTTTATTTGTATATAACAAAATGGTGCAATATTGGAAATCTACCTGTAGAATTAAATTGGCGCAATATATTAAAAAAATAGTTATGGGAAATACCTATGTATGTAAAGATCACCAATTAGGCTTAAATAAAAAATCATACAAAGTCATGACATGTCAAATAAAACAAATAAATCTAAATTAATGACAAAAAAAAGATGTTAAAAATTCCAAAATTAAAACCAACCAAACAATTTAAAAATTACAACTTTTTGGGTTAGACAAAAAAATGTTCATATTAAAGGCACACCAATAATTCATCTGACCAACGGTTTATAAACCTTCACCTTTTTTTTAATTGGCTAGGATTGTCAAAATTATTATTTTAAAATATATTTATACAATATGTAAATATATATATATATATATTATATATATTTACAATTTAACAATCCTTAAATTTAAGTAGGTAGGATACTAATAAATCTAATTTAGTTTCTGAAACGTATATTAAAACTTTTAACAAGTAGGTAGATACTGATATGGTGTATGTACTATGTAGATTTTCTGCATGCATATTACGATAATTATTTAACTCATTTAAATTTATAATTCTATAATGCATGCTATATATATAATATAAAAATAATTTAAAATTTACAAAGAAATCTTGGTAATTTTAATTAATATTTTTTACTTTCAAAAATGGCGGATGCGCCGGAATATTAATTAAATTAATCAATTTTTATTTAAAACCAATAATTTTTATTTATTTTTCAGGAATATAAAAAAGGGTCATCGTTTAGAAGGAGCAACAAGGCACTAACACCTTAAACCTCTGTATTTTAATAAAACAAAACTGTACTGTTTTTTAATTGTAGTTTAGTATACGAATTTTAAAAAATTCCTGCCGTACTAGTATGTAAGTTCCTAAAAACTTTAGTCTGTAATTTTTGTGACTGTCTCTTAATACAATGTGTTTTAGACATATTTAATTGTGAAAATACATTCTGATAACATAACTGTGTAAAATAATGCTTTAATTGCTTATAATTTTAATTTACCTATTTGTTTATAAAAATAATTTATTGTTAATCTTAACATTTTTGAATAATTGTGATTGTAAACTGCTTTGGTTTTGTGATGATTACAAAATAAAAAAGTAATTCTTAATACATTTTTATTTATTTCCCTTACTTATTTTTTTATGAACTGATATAAATAACTTTAAAAATTAAAGTAGAATGACTATTATGAAGATAAATATACGTCCTTGGTACGTCAATGACGCGATAAAATATTTAGAATTATATGTAATATCATAAATATTATTTAATTCGAATACCGTTGTCGCAGAGCATTAACATTTAAAATTACATACAAATATATTATATAATTGTCGATAATAAGGGTCAGGAATCACAATTAATTCACAATTTTTCGGGGCATTATTTTGCCCTTATAACTTTTTTTGCTAACCGTGGTTGTGTTTCGTTGGCTTAAATTTTATTTTCATGGATCTATTTTTTTTTTAATTAAGGACTGTTCTATCTATTTTTTATATTAATATTTATAATATTGTTTTTTAATTAAATTAAAAAGAAAAGTTAGAATGCAAAGATATAAATTAAATGGTAAACGGTATAATAAATTTAACAATAAAATAAATAAAGAATATACAAGGTCGGTAGTCGGTACTCGGCATAAGGGGTTGAATATCCACGAAGGCGGAGGGCACTTAGGACGGGTCGTGGCCGTCAACACTTCGGTACTAAAGACAAGATTCAGTTCCTCACAGGGGGGGGCAAACAATTTTAAAGAGGTTACCAGGAATCGGAAACCGTCTCGGACAGAGACGTTCAGAAGTACACCAACAAGGACAGGTTCTAGCAGCGTATTAACACTTCTACCCCCATTCATGAATCCTAATTGAATGGGGTTATTACTAAAGCCCTGGTTAAGCAGGATTCCGGATCGTACTTAGTTTTGGGTCAGTTCAATGCCCTCCAAAAACCAACACTTACCCTCCTTGTCCCGCTCTCCACTAGCCGTAACTGGGCGTATGGCACGACCGGTCGTGACCCGGCGACAAAAATTTAAGAGTGGTCTTAACCATCGCCATCCACGACCTCCTAGGCATAGACATTGTCTATGCTCCTAGGGTAGATCTACCAGCCGGCGTAAAAACTTCGGATCCAACAAACACAGGTAATGCTGTGCAGTGCGGGATACTTAGGAGAACGGAAAGGGGGTAAAATAACCCTAAGAGATTAGTGTAAGGCGATGTCGATGGGGAGTCCCCATACTCATACTCATAAAATAAAGTCTTTACAAGCGTTAGATGATGATCCAGATCGATTAATCGAGTATTGTGAAATTATGACGGCGAAAATAAATGAAGATCCTACACTCATTAAAAATATTTGTTTCAGCGACGAATGAACGTTTTCCCTAAATAGTCCAGACAAACAAGAATAGATAGCTCAGCTATACTTCTTTGTAAAAAAATGGTTTTGTGCTTTTCATTGAAAAGCATAAAACCATTTTTTTACAAAGATATATGCAAAAATACATTTTTTCAGTTTTTAGTGAATATCCCTCCGTATACTGAACAATAAAAAGTAAAACATTAAATTATTTTTTATAAAATTTCCTAAAATTTTTGTCCTTAAGTGTTTTTTGTTTATACAAATAAGTAAAAAAATATCTTTTATTAAATTAAAAATTTTGGTTTTTTTTCACTTTTTTGAAAATATTTCGCATTTTCTATTATTTTTCTATAAAATGAAAATAGAGATTGGTGCGACTAACGAGACCGGCTTTTTGAGAGCTGCTTTTATCTTTACTCTTCAGCTATGCCTGAATCTGATGAAATGTTCGAAAAGAAGGATGTTCAGCCGGTGATTGTGTGGGTGGCAAATTAGCGAGATTGGATTTAATTTTTACCATTCGTGCACCAAAACAGCTTTAGCCGGAAATAATCTAGCGTTGTTTTATTGCTTTCTCCTCCATGTAAGGTAATAAAAATGTTTTTGCTATTAGGGTTGTAACATCTTGAAACCGTTACAGCTTTTTAAATAAAATAAACCTGGCTACAACAATATAGCGTCAACTGGGTACCACATTTTTATTACGCCTTATGAAGAAAAAAGTACTGAAATATCCAGATTATTTTTTATTGAATCTGTTCTCGTGGACAAATCGTCTCGCTAATTTACCACCGACAGAATTGGCGGTTGGACACCACATTTTATCCGGTGCAGGCATAGTTGGCGAATGTTTTAGATCCAGAATAGGCAGGGGCGGACCGTTACCTTTGGCGGCCCTGGGCTAAAACTATTTGGGGGCCTATACAACTTTGGGTTTTGTCAAAATGGTTTCTTATATTTATATATATTAAGGAGGTTTGGGCAAGATATTAGCCGCCATGAGAAAATGTTGAAAAAATTTTAGGTTATAGTAGTCTGGTGTCCGAGTAAAAAAATATTAAAATTATTATTATTTTTATTTCTGAAGTGTGTTGTGAATGTTAACAAAAATGTATATGCCAGTTCTACAGGTATACGTGCATGCAAGAAAAAAAATCATCGATTTCCTATAGTCATGTTAAAAGATATTTAATCCATCTCTTATACATTCCATGAAATAATAAAAGATAATGTTAATGTTTTCTTTATTCATTTTCACAACTTATTTTTAGATTTTAAATAACACTGTATGTAGAACTGTCACTGCCACTGTCAAAAGCAAAAAGCGTTAATACTTAATGCATAAATAGCGATAGGTACCTATCGCTATTTATGCATTAAGTATACTTAATATATTCCAATTTGCAAAAACAAAATTAACTTTGCCATTTTATTACATTTGATTTAAAAAACAGCCAATTTTCTAAGTGAATTTATATACAGGGTGAGTCAGAAATAGGTGCATTAATTTAAAGAGGTGATTCTACAGATTATTTTGAGTTGTTTGAACCCCATATTGTCTTATATAAAAGTTATTAGTTTTGGAGTTATTTGATTTTTTGTGATTTTGGTAAAAAATCGTGTCCAGGTTTACATTTTTTAAAATTTCTCGATAAGAAATAAAGTTAATTAAACGATTCTTTTTTTAGTGGTTAGCCCATACATTGGTACATGCCACATAGTAATAGTTTTTCCAAAAAAGCCATATGGAACTTCAGAACAACAGTATAAAATAAAATTTTATTTGCGAATTTTGAAGACTTGTTAAGTTCATCAGGATTTTTTTTTTAATTTCACTATACACTTTGCGTGCAAATTGTTTAAAAAACTTTCTTAATGTATTACCTTTCGAATGATGTATAATATGCCAATACAAACTATTATTTTTTGGTAGAAAATGTCACCTTTGTAAAACACACAGTGTTAAGTTAACATTTATTTATTAAAATATTACTAAATAAAGGTCTACAGAAAATTCTCAAACTGTCCGCCATCATTTCTAATGCAAGCACAAATAACTCCAAAACTAATAACTTTTGGATAAGGCAATATGGGGTTCAAACGACTCAAAATAATCTGTAAAATCACCTCCTTAAATTAATGCACCTACTTCTGACTCACTATTTTATTGAGCTGTTATGTCGTGAAACCTTCTCCATTTCTTGCACAATTTTATCAGCTTCCTCTCGATTGGCAAGTGGCAGCCTTCTTTCCTTGTCCATCATCAAAGACGTCCTGATAATTGTGTATCAGCTCTCTCAGCTTTATTCTCTCATTTGGTTTTAAGTTCTTTGAAAAAGTCGAAAGCAGAGTCGTCAATTCATTGCTAATTTTCTTGGCCGGAACTCCAGACTCACAAATGCTTCTAATAATTCAGGAAACAGAAGA